GAAAGTACACGATTTCTAATTCTTGATTTTGTTCCAATTTCTATGCAGCTTTCACCAGACTGGCAAATAGACTATGAAAGTTACAACTGGACTAAGTTAAATCCCGATGATGAGAAGACAAAGAAGCTTGTGACAGAGTATTTTGCCTGGGAGGGTGATTTTGATGGGAAAAAATTCAACCAAGGCAAACTTTTCAAGTAGACTTTGAACTGAAGAACAGTGACATTGAATGGGAAATGTTAACTATTTAAAAATGAATGACTGGTGCAAAAAAAGTTTTCTTTGTTATTTTTTATGGGCAAACAAGGCAACTCAGGATGGTCTGTTGCCATCTGCTTTTCATGCATAAATTTTTGCCTTTTAGGTGTTTTCTTCAAAGCCATATGCCTTGGTATAAAGCATTAAAGGAAAATTTAAATTGTTAAACTTTCTCACAAGGGGAGATAATCAAGAAAAGACAAAAATAGGGTGGGGTCATTAGAAAATCTTCTTCTCATGAGTTTATGTGGAAGCTTGCTATTGTTCAAATGACCCCCGGGGGTAGCTTGGGAATCAAAGTTTAACAGAAATATATAGGAAAAATCTTTAAAAATCTTCTTCTCAAGAACCACTGGGCCAGGAAAATTTGTGGAAGCATCCTGGGGTAGTGTAACATGTAAATGTAACTGAAAAATCAAAATTTTTACATAGAAGTATATAGGAAAAAATCTTTAAAAATCTTCTTCTCAAGAACCACAGGCCCGAAAAGCTGAAACTTATGTGGAAGCATCCTGGGGTAGTGTAGATTCTAAATTGTTCAAATCACGATCCCCGGGTTTAGGGCGGGGCCACAATGAAAAATCAAAGTTTTACATAGAAATACAGTAAAACTCGGTTATAATGAAGTCACTGGGACCTGTGAAATTACTTCGCTATATCCGTAATTCGTTATAACCGTATAAGAAAGTAATTGATTTTATATAGCTGGGGATCCAAGATGACTTCGCTATATCCGTAAATTTGCAATATCCGTGTTCATACTAAACAAGTTTTGCTGTATATAGGAAAAATTTTTTAAAATCTTCTCAAGAACCACAGGGCCAGAAAAGCTGAAACTTATGTGGAAGCATCCTGGGGTAGTGTAAATTCTAAATTGTTCAAATCATGACCCCCGGGGGTAGGGCGGGGCCACAATGGGAAATCAAAGTTTAAAATAGAAATATATAGGAAAAATCTTGAAAAACCTCCTTTTAAGAACCACTGGGCCAGAAAATCAGAAACTTATGTGGAAGCATCCTGGGGTAGTGTAGATTCTAAATTGTTCAAATCATGACCATGCGTGTAGGGCGGGGCCACAATTGGGAATCAAAGTTAAAAAAATTTACATAGAAATATATAGAAAAAATCTTCTCAAGAACCACTGGGCCAGAAAAGCTGAAACTTTTGTGGAAGTGTCCTGGGGTAGTGTAGATTCTAAATTGTTCAAATTATGACCCTGGGGGCTGGGCGCACAATGTGGAATCTAAGTTTTACATGGAAGTATTATAGGAAAAATATTTAAAAATCTTTTTCTCAAGAACCATTGGGCCAGAAAAGCTTAAACTTATGTGGAAGCATCCTGGGTTAGTGTAGGTTTCAAACTATTCAAATCATGATCCCTGGGAATAGGATGGGGTCACAATATGTATTACAAGGGGGAAATCTAGGAATGAACAGCATGGTCAAAGCTTCTCAGGTGAGCGATGTGGCCCATGGGCCTCTTGTTATCCTTTTTATATTTGTAAAAACTATTATGCAATATTTGGTCTACCTGAGAACTGTAGGAGATAAACACATGATGTTTGGCATGACATCTCTGGACTCCTTAGTTTTGCTCTTTCCAATATGCCTAAATTGTGCAAATTATCAGACCTAAATTCTTATATTTTGCAAGTGTAAAAAATTTATATATTCCTGCATAAAACTGACAACCTTTTATTTGAACAAACGTCAATTGGCACTACCTGGTGATCTTGCTTGTACACAGTTTATTCCCAACTTATATTTACTGTAAAAAATATTGGAGGTGCCCTGTATAGAACAAGTGCCTATGCTTCTGACCCAGTGTTGAGAAGATTTTTATATGATCCCAAATTTTCAGTATTACTACAATTTCCCTTGAAAGAGAAAATAAATTTTCAAATACCTTTACTAACCTTGGATGCTTTGTGGAAAGGTTTATCGAGGTTAGGTTAGCATAGTGGTTTTTAGAGAAATTAAAAATGTGAAAAGTTTACAGACGGTTAATGGAGGCTTGTCTTTGCTTGCCAAGAGCTTCTGATCTTCTACAATCCTAGCAAACCCTTGGCCAATGGTGCTATAAAAGTGTAACGTGATCTTAGGTCCTAAGATGGCTAATTCAGATGGAATAGTGGCTTTCATGCGACGTAAAATTAGAAACAATAATGTGAAAGTAGGAAAATTCTGCAGAATATTTGCTATGTAACAGAGCTTCCTAAATATGGGAAATCTGATTTATGAAAAATGTGCAGTTAGCGGACAGTGATGTATTCGTTAATAAAAACGAATCCAACACATTGCAGACCGTAATATTAAAAGTATGTAACTATTTTAATTGATTAATATAACGTCGTCGATATTTCCAAATGTTTGAGCAGATGACCACAGCAAGTTTTTTTCTCTCCAGAATTTCGGGGAAATTCTGTTTCTAAGAGTATTTTAAAAAGTCCGATTGATGAAGGGGCACAAATGGTGCCAATTGAATTTCCAACATTGTTAGAAGACATTGTCTCTAGACACTAATTAATGTAGGAATTAAAACATGCAATGAATCAACCAGCATTCTTTTAATACTTGTTTGTAAAATTGGAATGATTTGAAAAAAGCACTTTCTTCAATGACCGATCACAAGTTATGGAAACGTTTCTTTCTTACCGAAGAATCAAATGTGAAAAAGCCTGCTGTTTAATTTATTGTAAGTAATTGCTGTATATATAAAGCCTAGAAAATGTGATGTTTGAAAGATTTTGAGATTTTAAATTAACATTTTCAGATTAAGATTAGCTATCTGTCGGACCTTTTAACAAGAGGCCCACGGGCCTTATAGGTCACCTGAGTATCGTGTAACAACTTTCAAACAATTAAAATTGGTTCGTGTTTTACCCCAGAGGCCATGAATTCACAATTCACAATTTTGAAAGAGGCACCATTGCTTATCATAATTATAAACTTAGCATGCTTACTCTATTTACTTAATACCCAGAGGTAGATCAGAGTAACAAAGAGAAAATGCACTTCCACTTTATAACCAGTTGTGCACCTCTTCCCAAAGGAACCACTGACCCTGGGGTCACATATTTCAAAATTTTGCAAATGTTATCATAAAATGGTTGATTAATACTAAAGAGCAAATTTCAAAGCATTAATTTATTTTCAGACTATGTAACCCCCCTCCCCCCGACACAGGGGGCATAAAAAATAACCATTTTGCTAGATGCACCTTTCTTCATCATAAATATATGTATATACTTGAATCATTGGCATAAAACCCAGGTGCAAAGGAAAAGATTTTCAAAGAATTAATACATTTTCACTATATACTAGTAATCAATAGAGCCCCGCTCTTATACCAGAACCCCTGACCTTGGGGCCAAAAAATTCACAAATTTGGAAGTGGCACTCTCGCTTATCATAACTATGTACTTAGTTCATTTAATACCCAGAAGCAGAGAAGAAGATTTTCAAAGAATTAATGCACTTTCACTATATGATCAATAAAGCCCCGCCCTAACACCAGAACCCCTGACCATGAAGCCATAAAATTTACAATTTTGGAAGTGGCACTCTTGCTCATCATAACTATGTGCTTAGTTAGTTTATTTAATACCCAGAACCAGAGAAGAAGATTTTCAAAGAATTAATGTATTTTCACTATATGATCAATAGAGCCCCGTCCTAACACTAGAACCCCTGACCCTGGGGTCATGAAATTCACAAATTTGGAAGAGGCACTCTTGCTCAACATAACTATGTACTTAGTTAGTTTACTTAATACCCAAGAGCAGAGAAGAAGATTGTAAAAGAAATAATGCATGTTCACTATATAATCTATATAGCCCCGCCCTAGCACAAGAACCCCTTACCCTGGGGCCATGAATTTCACAATTTTGGTAGAGGACTCAATGGTCACTACATTCATGCCAACAGTTTGCCTGCTTGATGTCCTGGAGTAAAGAAGAAGATTTTTACAGATTGTAATAATTTTGGTGGTTTTGGCCCCACTCCTCAGGCCCCAGGGGGTGGGGATCATAAAATTCACAATTTTTGTTCCCCTTCACCCATAGATGCTGTATACCAAATTTGGTTGAAATTGGTTAAGTGGTTTCAGAGAAGAAGCTGAAAATGTTCAAATGTTTACACACGACGGACGAAAACAGATAGCAATGGGTCACCTGAGTTACTCAGGTGACCTAAAATGTTTGTTTGAAGGCTATAACAACACTTATGTTTTCGCAGGTTTTTAAAGAAAGTAATCCGCTCCATGAAAATAGGAAAAGTTGGCTTATAAAGAAGCGCACATACCATACAAAAGAATTTTAACGGATTGTCGGCATTTCTGGTCTCTAAAGACTTTAGTTATTATCAAAAACAGAAACTCGTCAGAATCTAATTATTTCAATTTTCTGATACTTGTGTGATTTTGAACAATTTTACAAAAGATGTCACAATTAGTTATGAAAATTTCTGAGTTCTGTATTATCAAGCAGTCATCAAAAGTTTGTTCTTGATTTATCTCGAAGAATGATTGAAAAGGCCAAAGAAAAGTCATTCCTCTGATGCCATTGATTTTGACAAAACAAAACTTAAAATTATAAAGTTCTTATTCCCAAATAAATTTATAAACAACTGGGTTTAAAAATTCATGGATTTAATAAAAAAAAAAAACGCGACAGAAATAAATTAATTTTATATTTAATTGACTAAAGTTGTACAAAATTAACACCGTTGTGTAAAAATTTTTCACTGTTTGTCTTCAGACACTTAAAAACCCATCATTCTTTTCATTATCTTTGAAATTAAATCCAGAATCACTATGTTGATCCCCATTACGATCACCACGCAGCTGATTTCTGTATCGACGTTCGAATGCTCTTCTTAGCGTTCTTCCAGTTGTCAGCCCACGTCGGTTGAAGACTGCACTGTTTTTTCGGCGAAGGGACCTTCTCTTCTGACGGGCGTCTTGAAAGTTAGACCCGAGATTCTCACAGGCAGTTGACATGGAGGAACAAGAGCTTGTATACAAAGTTGATATTGCCTCGTCGTCATCGTCTATATCGTCGTCCTCATAGTCTGGCAGAGGGTCATCGTAATCCGGCTCGGGTTCGTTTTCGATGTTACTCACTCTCTGCAGTTCCATGGCTTTAGCAATGACCTCCTGTATTTTGTACTTTTCGGTGAACTTCTGACTGCAAGATATATCAGTGATAGAAAGAACATGGAGAATGGTTCCCCAGCGATGTGAAAGCATGCCAAGGAATTGAAAAAGCAAAATTGCAGAAAATAAAGCTAAAAAGATCATTCCGAGGGGTTCAAATGTCAGATCTTTTTGTGATGAATCGAAGTGCGGAATTTTGATGAAAAGATCGGTGTCTTTAAAGTCATCCTGTAATAGCTGAAGTTGCATGGTAAGAGCTATCCACAGAGCAGAGGTCATGAAGAATCCAAACACGACATTGTTGCGTAGGTTTTTCAAAGCATTAACCACCCTCTCCTGGTGAAGCTTGTCTTCCTTTATTGGATATAAATACTTTTGCAACAATTGCTTCCAAAACAAGACCTCCCTTTCGTCAAGTTTCTTAATTGGACCATCTCCTAATATTTGGTTTTGTAGACATTCTTGTTGATCGGTTTTTGTGTAAATCTTCGTTTCCGTTTTTCCTTTATTGTTCACATAATCTTCAGATATTGGGGGAATGTTCATTGATTTTGTACTTGATTCCATGATATCTGGCTTTGATGACGTCACAACCCCTTCGCTCTGTAGTTCCTTCGGTAAACGCTTATCCTTCAATTCTATTATTAGTTCCTCTAATAGTTGGTCAGTTTTTGTAGGTTTTTCTGTATTGGCAAGAGTCATCGTTCGAACTTGACGAAAAAGTTCAACTGTTTCGTTGATAATAGAGGTTATACCAAGCCATCCCAGAATTCCTGTCTTCTTCTCTTTCTTCTTCTTTTTCTTCTCTTCCTCTGCTTCATTTTTTGTCGATGAGTTTGCATCACCTTTGAGCAAGGTAACTTCACGTGTCCCCCAAGACACTACATGCATATTGCACAGGTAATATATGGTTAAAACAAGGTAACCCGTAGGAATACAGATGAAGTATAGTGCTCCAGGTATTACACAGGTAAATTCCTCCGGATGCAGCAAGGCAGCAATGAAGTAAATGATGACAAGTATTGACAGAAAGACAACATTAGGACTTGTTAGTCCTCCCTCTATAGCTGTCCCAACCGTACCCACTAGAACGATGGTCATCACTATGGCGTAACTTGCGCTAGCAATCGTCGCAAATATAATTTGTGTGCTTGGTTTTGCATACAGACACACAATGATGAGAGCGATTGCTGGCGTCAGGGCTATAGCATAGGATTCTATAATCGTCGTCTTAAAGACAACAGTGAAAGCTCCTGCCATCATAAGAAGGACAGTGGCTGGGCCTAGAATTGTGGAAACCAAAAGGAAGAACTGGTATAATATATAAGGTGTGCTAATGTTGTCATTGAGGCGTACTGTGTTCTTCCAGTCTCCCAGAAGGTCAATTAAATTCGCCAAGGTGGAGGGACCCCATCTTCGGCGCTGATTGAAGAACTCGGAGAAAGTTTCAGGTGCATGTGTAAGGGCATCTGCGGCGGCACAGTAATCGATTCTATAGCCTTGTTGCAGGAGGAGTGTACTTAGCCATCTGTCTTCCCCTAAAAAAAGGAAAAAATATAACATGATTTTTTTTCTGTAAAATTAATTTTTACACACTATGATAGGCTATAGGTGTATCCAAACAGTTGTTGGTTACACCAATCAAATTAAAGACAAAAACAGTATTTGTAACGTATATGTAGACATACCTTGGTCATATTGAACATAATGACCTGCTTCACTTGCTCTAATAGCATAGCATCTAGCGACATTGTCGTCCATAAGTGCCGATCCTCTAAACAAACTGAAACATCCTGGGGCACATAATACACAACCAAAGACATGCTCTGTTGCTTTCTGAAGCCAGTGACCAATAGCATATTCAAATTCCTGATACCAAATAATTGGACCTAAGAATTCAAGAAATTTGAAGAATGACAGAAACATTAGATGCTAATTGTTGATATTTATGATTTTCAGAAAGTTTTGGGGTAATAACTTGGTTACACTGTAATTTACCTGAACCAATTGGATGAATGCGACCACATGCAGCTCCAACTTTTTTGTTCTTTTTTAAGCGATCGACCAACAGACGCACTGCATCAGGTTTAAAGTCGACGTCACCATCAAGTGTCAATATAAAAGTGTTCTCAGCCTACAAAATATAGAGCTTTATTCTAAAAGATCTTGCAAAAAGGATCCCTAATTACATGTACAAAGTATTTGGTCAAAAAATAATTTGGTAGGATGTGATCCTGAATTCTGCAAATGTATAACTTACGGGGGGTATTGGAAATGTGATAGTAAATTGGTTTTACAATTAATTTAATTATTTTATGTCATGATACGAAACCAAAGGCCAGTCTTGAAACAGTGTATATATGATGTGAATTACAAATTTCAATCTTTAAAACCCTTTTAAGTTGTCAGTTGTGGTGAATCTTTTTTTTTACCTGCGTGTGAACTTCCTCTGTTGTGTAGTTAAAGATGACGCTTCTCGTGAAATGTGAAGCCTGTCTTCGATGTCGTAGTTGTGAGTTTGTTAGCCGAACTCTCTGGTTAGCATCTTCTGATGAAGAACCGAAACTTCGATCGCAAAAATCTCTATGAAGTAAATTTTCAGGCTGTGCAAGTATTCGATAACCAAGCAAATAGTACATGTACATTACCTGAAATGAACAAAAAGGGTTACCATATTAATAAGTATCTCTTTGATTTTTCTTTCCTTTTCCCCCCTCTCTAGGTTAAGAATGGACAAAGATCTAGGATGTTTTAGTATATGTATGAAATGAAGTGATAACCTACTTGAGACCATCGTTTCTTGTGTCGAACTCGATGCCGATCCTTTAGATGAACCACGAGTTTTGTTGCTCCAGGCAAGAGCCACGTTAATCTTGCCCCGTAAGGCGTTGCTGTTCGCATGGGTGGACCTAGTTGTAACTGCCTCTCATGCACAGAACTTTAAAAAAAGTGGTAATAAAATTGGATTTATTAACTTCTAATTATTATAAGAAATGGAATTATGATAAACATTACACAGTATGTGTTGCAAGGGATTGACACCCTTGCAAGATATTCTGCAGCAAATGAGTCCGAGTGTTTCTGCCTACCGTCATTTTAAGTTGTCAGAGCAAAACTTTACAAAGATATATATGTAAATATTTTCACGTTCTGTTAGCAATGAATGGAAGGTAAAATTATTTTTTCTCTTTTTAAGTAAGCTACGTAAGTAGAAAAGTGATAGGAAGAAATGCTTTCGGAAGAGTACCTCAATGCATCGTCAATACTGTCCATGAATTCGACGACAAAAGCATTTGGTACTGAATTTTCATCATCAGTTAAATCCATTGCATCATCAAAGAAGATGTGGGCTGAAAAAAAATCGTATAAAACCAAGGTAAGTATTATCAGGGTGGTTGTTGTTATGTGTAAATATAAAAAAATGTAATGAATTGTGATAAATTGCTTCTCTAATACTAGTATTTATTCGATAATTTGCCAGGAAAAGTTTGTTTTTTATGTTTTTGTAACACTGAACCTTTGTTACCAGTGTACATATAAAACATTCCGTTAAATTTTTTCCCATTTAAGTTTTCCTTCAAATAGTTTGTTTTAAAATGGTAAAAAAAAAATTGTGTTAGAAAAAAATATTACACTTTTGCCACAAGAAAATCGCTGGGAAAAGTATGTGTGACCTACCTTCGAATTCGTAATAGTCAGGATCTCTTATGCCGTAGAATTTCTGAGCTAAGTATCGGCCACTATGATCAACATCTATACTAGAATGATACAAAATATATAGGTTTAACATACTTTGTGGTTAAAATAGAAAAAAAAGTTGTCCTCTTAATTGAATCTCTTTAACCTTTGCCTTTTTTATCTTTAAACCTTAAAATTAGAGACTGAAACAATGATTTGACTGGTCAATCATATTTCGATAAAAGCTTGACATAACTTTTCTAAAAAACATTAAGGTTCCTAAAATAGGTAACGGTGCCATCTTAAGGAACTTGAAGTCACTTGGTCTCCGGAAATGGAATTTGTCCAGTATGGCTTTATTTTGATTTATGATTTCCGATAAAAATATCTTTAATGTTATATTCAGTAATTCTATGAGCAATATTTATCGGGGAGGGGATGAATACTAAAATTTGATATTTTATGCCAAGTAGACGAGTTGTCTGTTTGAATATCAATATTTCTGAAATAAATATTTCCCTAAATGTCCGGTAAAAGATTGTGTCTTCAGCAAGATCTGATAGCAAACTCCGTATTATAACAACAATCTTGATAATTTTGCACGTACCGAAACAGAGATTTCAAAAGTTGAATCATTTCGTTTCTAGTCTCATGCCACATTGTTGCGCAGGCGTAAATTTGAGGAACAACATCATCTGCTTTGTGAATCTCATCGTCGTCATAAATGAACGACCAGTCTTCATCAGCATTAAACAAAGAGGTATCTCTGTCATTTAGTCGTCGCCGAAGAGCAAGGGAAGTGTCCGTTAATATGCCACATCTCAGTGGTGTAACAAAGAGTCTGCAACGAAAAAAAAGAAGTATTTCAGTGGAAGACATATCGGCTTGTTTGGTAACACACTTTCATTTTGACATGTAACATTTGAATATTACAGCGGCCTGTGTCCCTATCTATCACAAGTAAAGATAATAAATTATCTTCAACAGTTCATTTCAAAGACTGGTGTCCATTTTGTTGCAGACATAATATCTTAAATATAGGTAACCATCTCATTCTCAATTGCAAATTACGGTCACACATTTACATGCATTTTGTTACAGCTTTAAAGATTTAATGCCTTTTCCAAAACCTAAGTTACAGAAGAGCAGGGAACAAAAAAAATCCAACATGAATACAATCTTCAGGCATTTGTTTGGACTGAAAGAGTCAGTTTTGGATAAACGAAAACATTGGAGTGGATAGCAAGAATTTTTTAAGTAAATGTTGTTGAAACCTTTGCTTTCTGAATCAACTTATATTAAAGAATTTAAATCTATACATGCACATATGTTTCATCTTTTGTCACGTTTTGAATATTCCTTGATTTTTGGTAAAAGATAAATCGTATCAGCCTTAAAATTTTTCTTACCTTTCAATTTTAGCCATTCTTCCATTTCGAGGCGACCAGATATGTGCTGTTGTAATTAGTTGTGAAATCCAAAGAACTCCAAGCCAAAGAAGATGAAACTTTCGCAGATCTCCATCTGTTTCTGGGCAAACCCAAACGTAGACATATGAAGGTAGGTACTCAGTAAACTGTTGCACGAGTACAAGGCCAAAAGTTATAGGGGTTGCTAAGATGATGGGTAAGGTGAAGCCAAATAGCTGCATACACAATTTGCAAGCAAGACCTCCAAAATACGACATAAGAGTAGTTGCAACTAAATGCAAATATAAAACTCCATATTTTTGTAGGTTAACTTGTATGACCTCGGGAATGTATGAACTGGACGTTGAGTTAGAATTTTGCTTTTCATCAATGTTTTGATCCTTATCTACTATTTGAGGAACGACAAGGTTGCGAGTAAGCATATTTTCATTCAAGTGCAGTACTGATTCAATACCACGGTCTTTGATTGCCCTGGTCAGATTGATTTGTGCATCGTTGTTGACTGTATCAGGTTTCTCCAAATTTGGCATGTTCTGATTTTCACTCGCCACTTGAAGTAATGATCTTTTGCCTCGGATATTCGGTGATATAGTACTGACGTCATTTCCCAATGGATTCGTTGTAGTTTCAAAGGGTACGTTAGATATGCTTTTCATGGACGAATTACTTGAATCCGAATCCGAAAATGAAATGCTAAAATTAAACCCAGGAATAAGTAAGATGGCAAAGATCATGGTCCAACCAATTTTCCACAATCCAGTCAATATGTATAATCTTTGTTTCACCACAAGTAAGTTTTTCTTCCAATCAAGAAGGGGTATCCTAAAGGAACAAATGTAGATATCTCCATCCGCATAGTTTTCCCAGTAAGATAAAGAAATAAACACCAAAGAAACCGGAAGCTCCCACATTATTCTATTTGTTAGAATAGGTTTTGGCCTTTCAATGACATTGATGACGTCATCATTATCAATAACAGAATTAACCATTTCTTGTTTTTCATTATCTGTAAGCGGAATACTAAACATTGATGTAGCACCTAAATTGCAAAACTGAATAAGGAAGGCTATTCCGTGCACAGTTGTAAGCGTCAATCGCTTTATTCCTGGTAGGGATTTATCAGAGATAACGAACAATGTTTTCAGAAGTGCTGGAATCACAAATATTCCACTTAATGGTATTAAGCTTCTGGCCATGTCCATCTTGGGAAGAATATGAAACACTAGTAAGCACAATCCAAAGCTGTGTAGAAGTTCAATGAACAAAGTCTGAAAAAAGAAAACATAATAGTGAGTCAATATTCCATTTTTAGTTAATGGAAAAATAAAAATTCCCATTGCCGAATTTTTTGGGGGGATAATGCATGCACTTTATAGAAACTGTCCGAACGTGTGAAAGTAGATGGGGCATTTTTTGAATATGCAACAGAATGCACAAATCACTGACATCATCTATAGTGTCAGCAGGCAAAAGAAAATTAGTAAGAGTAAGAGAAATGATGCAGATCTCATTTTGATTTTGAAACAAAGCATCTATTTATTGTTCATAACAAGATAATCGAATCCACTTCTCTCCTTTTAGAGGAAAACGAACAACAAAAGCATTACTTACCACAGTTGTAGTTTTAAAAGAAGGCCAGGCACTGCTTCCAAACAGAGATCTGGCTGTATACGTAAGTATCCATAAAGCATAGGGGAAACATATACAGATGATCAGCATCGTATTGGTGGGTGAGTTGTTCACGTTCCGTGCATTTTCATCCTTTAAAATATTTAGGATTGTTGAAAGATATTTGACTCATACACATGTATATCTATTTAAACACACAGAGAATATAAGGCTATTTCAGAAAAAGGAAAAATTATTTTATTCATCTTTATTAACATATCCTTTAACATGATGATCAAACGTTTTCTGGAGATTTATTATCACTGAAAAATTTAACTTTTCCGATTGAATGACTGTGTCATATTAGAAAAAATACCCAGAAGTTCAGTTGCCATAGGCAAACGGACATTCCTGCTTGTCCTTGAAAGATTCAGAAAAGACTAATATAAGGGGCAGGGAGGTAGGATGTAAAGAGCCCCCTCCCAGAACAAAATGTTTTATTATTATAATTAATTCATTTTTTGTCAATATGCTCATAGGTATTCAAACCTTCTTGAATATCATGATACTCCGTGTAATGAAAATTAACAACATTTGTGTGACTATATATATTCATTTGCAAACAAGCATACATTTTTTTGTAATTATTGTAGCCAATTAATTAACCTGTGCTGATAATTTATATGACATTCATTTGCGCTCACGAACAAACCAGCTTGACCGTGTATCAACACTGAACTTCTGAGGTTTGTCTTGTCTTGTGCCATTAATTGCTGGATTTATACATACCTTAACAATGCTAGAAGTCATTATAAGAATTGATGTTTTGGCGGCAACTGCCGAACCAAGGACAATGCAAAACAGCAATACGTAACAGATCGCCTTGAATGCTCTCAGAAATGGTTTTAATGTATCACTGGTAGAAACTCTTTCACGGGGGATCATTTGAAAACGGTCCCAAAGACGTCTGTAATGAAAGGGAAAATTGTCAGTTTAATATCATTAAAATTAGTAGTTTTATCAATTGTTCAATGTTCAGTACTTAACCTTTTAAATTGTATGATATTTTTACCTGCAATTTGCAAATTGTATATTCTTTATCTATATACAAGTGGATTTCACATACAGTGCAAAATGAACCACAACAGAAAAAAATATTATGGATTATATCATGTTGTAAATTTTGAATTCACTAGAGGGTAGTGGTAAATGCAAGTTTACGACATAAAATTTAGTTTACGTGTAAATTTTGCTCCCCCTGAATAGAAATAGAGTAAATACAGAAGGTCAAAATAAATGTTATGTTATAATTTTAATTCCCATTATTTTGATTACTTTTAATGCAACAAATGGTTATTCATAAAATAAGAATGAAAATAAAATAAATACAAATAAGAAGTATACAGTCGTACAAGATAATTTGTGGAAAAAAACAAATGCAACAAGTTCTATTTATGCAAATAGGTATATTATTCATTGTCGTGTTAAAGAATAATGATTTTTTGTAAAGTATATATCCTCTAAAAGACGTCATAAATTACAGCATACAAATTTTTTGTAGTTCAATTCAAACACGCATATGCTGTTTTGAGAGTGCGTCCAAAAAGTTTTGAGGTTTAACTCTATAAATGAACACGTATGGCTCTAATTCACATCACGACTGAACCATGCCTGGGGGATATTTGTGTATCAGAAAACACATCTTTATTACTTTTTCCGGTGGAGTCGGGGTAAGTCATGCCCCACTTTAAGAAAACTTAAACATTAAATAGTCGCTGCATGGGGACAGCTAGGGATCCATGGTCTCAAGTTAAAATTCACTGCTCATCAACACGCACCGAACTCATCCCGTACCCAACCCAGTCCTTCTACAATTCTGTATTAGTTTAAAATATATTTTATTCAGTGAATTGGATTGAACAGCAGGCATAAATGCCTATAACCGTTCTCCACAATTCTGTATTAGAGTAATAGAAAGGTTTGTTCACCCATTGAAATTTTTACATGTGTATCGTACTTACTTGTCTAAGGAATGTTCTTCTTGGATATCTGGAATATTGACTTTAACTGTCGGCAGCTACAAAAGACAATGATGCATGTTGATTATATCTAACTTAAATTTAGAAAATATACAAACTGACTTTTTAAATTTGGATGTAAGGGAAATAAACTACGATTGCAGATTTAAATTGGAGAATAATATACCCTTACGAACCTTCATTGTATTTTCATTATTTTGTTGCATCCATTCCGTTACCTTTTGCTGTGTTCCAGTCTTAAAATTTTGTAAATTATCGCTGTTTACCGTTGTTTCACTCATTTGTTTTTCTGAGAGACATGATGCCTTTGTCGCCATACAAATAGAGGAGTCATTGGGCAATGCTTCCACTAACACGTCATATGTAGTGTCCAGATCAGTCTCAGAGTCCGATAAAACCGTCTGATGTTCCATGTTCATCATTTTTCTTTTTTCAAACACAAGTTCCTGTAACACGGCCCTGTGCCAGTACGGAATGTATATCTATATGATTGTAAGAATATATTAAAAAGTACGTAAGTAAAACTGGAAATTTAGCATTGACTAAAAATCAGCCTTTGAAATTTGATAGTAGAAAAAATTGACAGATAATTGAAAGAAAAAAATATATCAGATATTTCCCCTCAATGTATTTATGCTAAATACATACATGTTATTTGATTGAAAAAAAAGTTTTTTTTATAGCCTTATTATTCATTTTTGAAATTGCTGAATATATTAGGGAAAGTTTTATTTGAACCCCGAATAACAAGTATCATCTTCATCCGAAAAATTCAAAGTTTATTCAAATGTATAGGTATACCTATATTAATTTACATATATCAGATTTGCCTACATTTTGTTTCTATTAAAAAATTACGTATTTGAAATATATCCATATTCTGTATTTCAGGGAATGCCTTTATTCTGTATTCTATCAAATCATCAGAATATAACTAACCTGATTTTTGCCGAAAAAGTGACCAGTCAACCCAGCCTCACGCAAAATGCGTGAAACATTTTCGAAAGTCGGACCAACTTTCTGCTCAGGTAGGAAAACTATGTCACGATACCTAGAGAGAAAAAGGTGGAATTTATTTTATAGATTAATTAACAATTAATTAATTAATGAAGAGAAATTAAATGAATTATCGAAATGAAGAGACCTCTGAATAAAGTATCCGGGAAACATGGGTGTTGTAAACTCTTCTCTCATATCCATAATTCAAAGCTGGCCTTCAATTCCAGTTAAAATGCATACATTTTTTTGTTTTTGTTTTCTGCAAAGAAATAATAAAAAATTGACTTACCATTTTTCCTTGTTGACACGGGATAATTTTATCTTTTATGAGGCACAAATGTATGGCAGTCGGACAGAGCAAATGGTCAAACGTGTTGATGTACAGATAAACAGAGCTGATGGCCTCGGGGTATAAATAACAATTAACTTAAATATATTGCTTTGAAGTTAGATAAAGCTTTAAAAACTGCATTTTAAGAATGCTGAACAAATTACAGTGTATTAGAAAAAAAAATACATGAAAATTATTAATTTTATTTATGTTTAAATGTTTTTGTAATATGTTCATTATGTTTACATATACTCAGTCTTGTTTTATTGAATAAGATCTCATCGTCTAATAAGCATATTTATCAAAACGCACATTTTTTACAAATAAAAAAAATTAAATCAAAATCTCAGAATTGCTTAAGACTGACATTTCCAAAGTCTTGTAAAATCTCAATCCCATTCTCCGTTCTTATTACTGTGTTTTGAGGGCTTCATAAAATTCTTTTGTCAATCGCGGGGCACGCTTTAGGAGAACTTTTTCGCATTTTAAGCAACTATGTAATTTATCAGCTAAAAATCTTAAAGTAACTGTGTTATCAATTGACTTTAGAATCCTCATTTTAAGAATATAATTTTTGATAAATTAAGATAAATGAAACAATTATTAAAAGTCCCATTTACTTTTCAGAAGTTTTACATTGATATGATTTATATATTGATTAGATTCTAGAAGAATTGAATTATAATTTTTTTTTTTAATTCTTCATATCCAGAAATTTAGCGTTCAAGACATCGAAGAATGTTAATTTTATCTTTCGGATTTTTTTCTGGTTAAGAGATTGTCGTAATGTGGAATGGATCTGAATCATTAACATAGCTTCGAGCACATATTTTCTCCATGTGGACAATTCCTATCTCTATTACATATCAATTTTTCCTCTGGACATTTTTCATTTGTCTACGTTTACTCAAGAAGGTATAAATATACCCTGCACTGAACAAACGAGCTATATTAAAAATAAAGAATAAGAATTAAACATGTGATTAAATTATTTAGGTTTTTTATTTACTCCTAATTAAAAGTTATACCTTTTAAAAAAAATATTTTTTTAATATAAAACTCATAGTTGTATCAATGTCTTAAAAAAGATTTTTTAGAAAATAATAGCCATTTTCAAATTTTATGTAACAAACTTCTAAATTTTTTTTATAAATAAAATCAAATTAAAACACGATTTTTTATTTAAATTAATAAATGACTAAAACGCGTCAAATTATCTATGAAAGTAAAGGCCACGATTGTATTTTGGAAAACTTAGTTATTCGTGCAGATGTACAATGCCTACTAACTTCCCTGCTTTATAGAGAAATGCAAGGGTTGTAAATTAAACATATTCTATGCTATTCGATAAAAAGGCTCTGTGGTCCATTTTCCTTACAGTTTTACTACAATTAGTGGTTTCCACTATTGGGCAAAATTGATGTTTTCATTGTTTATAAATGTATGGTTTTAAAAGGAAAATATTTATGATTATATTATTCTTGTATATTTGTGAACAAAAATAAATCAAATTTTGAATGCATTAATACATTCTACTAACTTAATTATACTTGTTGTTAAAACTTTTATTAAATTCTTGTGTTTTCTGTTATCTTTCACGGTCAAAAGGGGGATAACTTACTAGTGAATCTAGACAGGACACTATCACCCAGCCTTGAAGTGACTGGCTTTGATTCAAAATCAAGTGTTTTATCAAATGTCATTTTTGTTTTAACAACAGTTTCGGGAAATAAAATAAAAATTTTTTAAAAAATCAATTAAAATGTGAAAATTCAAAATAATAATAATAAAAGAAAACGTTTGTTAATCTCGAAATGTCTTTTAAATATTTACATTTTTAAATACGATTAATTGTTTCAGATTTATGTTAACATTAAAATCATGGTTTATATTAAGAAATAGTAATGATATAAAATTTAATGTTCCATAAGTAGATGAATCTAATTGTTGAATAATATAAAACCAAAAGCTTTAGTAAAAAGATATAAAATTCAAAATTGATATATAATGTGTTGCATAAGAATCACAATTAGTAATTTGTTAAATAACATGGACCAATAATTCATTGTCTGTCATTTTCTTTCTATGTTGAAGGAAATTTTAAAAAGCGTCTTTATATTTTCCCATACTATAAAGTAAGCTTCAAGTTTGTTTCAGTATACTAGTATACGAAGGAGGTTATCTTTTGAATAAATTTCATAAATACTTTTTATTAAATATTTAATATTTAATTAATATTTCTTTATTTGGAAAAAACATAATTTATCGAAAATTATTTTAAAGATGGATTAATTCTTAAATATTTCCCTCTAATTACTTTACATACACTCTTTTGTCTTCTTTGGTTATGTTTTAAATATTTTCATTGCATTTCACAGATATGATTCTCTCGCAATTTGCCTAATTTTCATTTACTGTAGTATTAAAATTATTCAGATAAGGCAACAATTGGAAAACTAAACGCATGAAATCAGAGTAAATATTAATGTTTTCTCACATAAAAACTTATTACTTTTCTAATATTTACAACTTTTTATATTAAAGAAGAATTTTTTTTCCAGTAAAACAACTTCTATATAAACTTGCAACTCACATATTCACTTCCTTTGCTAATCTGTAATGGAGAGTTCCATGCTTTTTTTCTTTACCTGTAATTGACAGACTGATGCATGGAGCTGCTGAAAATGATAACCTTGCATTAAAGAAAATGATCTAAATGGAAGTATTTATTTATTTTGAATCATGATTTGAATAAAAAATATTATTTGAATAAATAAAACTAATTTTATTTTTTTTAATTTTGATGAGAAATTCTTAATATAAAAAATCTAGATTTTTAAAGATAAAAGTATTAAGTGACACATGCACATTATTTTTTCAGAGATAAGATTTTGTTCTGAAAATCGTTCATTGACACATAATCAACTTACTCTATCTCCAAAAGAAGGTGAACTATTTAATAAAAGCACTAGATAGAGACTTGTCCCAAAACATTAGATGTCACCAAAGCACAACGAATACCACTCAATATAAAGTGGAGGTTTCGTTGTTTATGGCCGTCGTTACAAATCCCTGATAGTAATAGCCGCCAGAGAATCACTTAGCCCCGTACAGGACGCTAACAAGGCAATAATTCCTCATATTCAACCAATCTAGTCGAATTCATAAGTAAACTGAAGCTATTAATAAACACAAAATATATTTTTATATCTCAGTTAAGCTTCGCGGAACCGAAGACATATTAACAACAATTCATTGATGTCTTGGGCGAAACTTTTTTGCAAAAGACATATTACAATGAACTACTATTATATTGTGTTATATTATGAATAATAAAAATGTACAAGTTTAGCAATTATCAAAGGTTGAATCATTAAATTTATGTTTCTAATGATATTTATCAGGGGAATGACATCTTTGAAGACATATTGGTCTCTGACATATCAAATGAAGAGAGAATTGAAGAGGTCACGATTCGGACATTGTTGATGGAGTATGTATATTTCAATACTATTATAAAAAATATATATATAACGGAATGCTTGTATTATATAATCGCCAATGCATATATTAAATAATCTCCAATCCATAGTTATGCTTAAAAAATCTTTAAGGTTTCGTTATTAATTTTTTTAAAGTTACGCTTTAAATTTCGAGTTAAAGTAATTTTATTTTAATCGAAAAAATGTAAATAATTGTATGAAAAAAATGAATCCCAAAAAAGTTCGGCAACTAACATGTAGTTTTGTAAAACACAAAGAAATCGCATAAATATATATAATTTATATTTCTGATAAATAAGTTTAATTCAATTCCAGACCTTTATCATTGTCATGTCAATTCTGGTCAACGGGTAAATAATTTTCATGTCCCCGTAATCGGGGGTTTATAGTCTTTGCTCTGACCGTCCGCCCGTCTATCTGTCTGGTTGTGTGTCCGCAAAAACTTTAATCTTGTACTCGGACATACTTTTCATTGGTTGGGGCTATGGATTTCATGTTTTACAAGCCTATATTTCTTGTAACAGGACCCTTCTTTAGGTACAACCATATTCGACATCTTGAAGTTGACCTTGGAGTTTGACCAAATTTTGCAAGAACTAATCTTGGCTATAACTTCACTGAGTCAAGTCATTTCTTTGGGTAACAGTATTTTTCGTCTCTTGATCTATAACTTTCACTCACGTTTGAGAAGTTAAAGTTTCTGCAGACAAGTAAACAGAAAAACGGACAGGGCAAACACTATATACGCCTGAATTTTCGATTACGGGGGCATTTTGTAAAAATAGTTCACACTTCAAGGTGAGGATGTCAAATCTGAAAGGTTTGGTCACAAGGAATACAGCTGTGTAATATGAAAGCCATAGACTCGATCACCAGCTAAAAAGGTATGGGCAAGGTTAACGTTTTTGCGGACAAACAAACAAACAGACGGACGGACAGGACAAAAAACTATAAACTCCCGAATCTTCAATTACGGGCCATAAAAAAAAATCTGTTAACTTTTTTTTTACATAAAAAAGAAAGAAACATTTACCACTACAGATAAATTCTGGTCCCAAGAGATCGATATTATCTCTGCCAATTTTAGAGTTACGTGTAGTGTGTTCCGTCACTTATAAAGTGAAACATTGTTTTCATTAACTAAAATCGCGGTGACAATCTCATT